CCAAGATTTATGACCTTCTTTTTGACCTAAAATAATAATATTGTGATTTTCTTTTCTACTATTCATTTTAAAATGTAATGTGCTCTACTATTTTTTCAATAGCTTTTGATAGGAACATCGAAGACACTTGTAGTTTTCACCATTCAAAAGAAAAAATTCCAAGCCATTAGAATTTGATTGATCAGCAATTTATCGATCAAGTGAGTTCTTGGTGAAGATTTTCGCAAATAATATTCTGTAGATTCGATATGAACTCTTAATAGGACTACTCAATAGAAAAAATTGTTTTCTTTCGATGTACACAAGACCGATATTTCTAGCTTGTTTCGCTCGAGAGTCATAAAAGTTTTCCTGAGATCCACCATTCCAGTCAATGGACCTGTAATCACTCAGGGAAAAGCAGCTAGAAATAGGTAATAAATCGTACTGAATCGAATGATGATATTTGTTTTTAGATTCAAGCTGATCTGATTCACAATCAGCCTCTATGTAACGAAGGAGTTGACATTTCGAAAATATCGTCATAGTGATTAATTCTCGAATGAAATAAACTAGGAGTGTCGACTTTGCATAAATCGAAAGAAAAATAACTTCAGAGAATTGTTGTTTGTTTGAAAATCTTCATCGAGAATTCATCTGATTGATAAATTTCTGACCAATAAAATTTTGATGTCCTTAGATTTTCTCTTTTGAATAGTGAAAACCACAGGTTTCTATGATGTTCCTATCAAAAGTTATTCAAAAAAACAGTCGAGCATATCGTATTTTTAGTTTATAGAAAAATTGAATATACTCACATTTAAAACAGGCATCTGGAAAAAGAAAATCAAGATAATATACGAAGAGAAAGATTATCAATTATTCTTACTCGATCTATCGGAATGTCGATTACCAGCATAACTACCACCACGTGCCGATCCATTTGTACCACGTGAAAAGCCTCTACTACCATTTCTAGATGTTTCATCAAATTGTGGTAATTCTTGAATGGGTTTCATTTGAATTCTTGGACTATCTTTCCAATAACTTTGCAATTTTTCATCAAGTTCACTTGGTATATCAAACACTGCATTCTAAATAAAATTGATTATACAATTTGGTTTTTTTTAAAAATTCTATTTATGAATACATACTTTATAATCTATTGTAAATGCAACTTTTGAACAGTTACCTCTTGCATCAAAATCTTCTCCAAAACATTTACGTAACATAGTAAATACTAGTCCGGGACCTTTGAATTCATCTGTAACTGATAACATATATGTTGTATGATTCTAATAAATAAACAGAATAATCAAAAAATCCAGAAAAAAACAACTTTTGTCATACCTCTTTTTTTGTAAATAGAGATCGAGGAACAATATTTGTTGTACCAGATATGCAAGCTAATGCAGCTGATAAAGCATCAACTGCGTCATGTGTTTTAAGAATTTTTTCTGCGGCTTCACGAAAATGTGCTTTAGCTGCATCAGTTACACTATCAAGAGCTCTAAAAAAACCAGAAATAAAAATAAAAGCGAACATTGAAGTTTGAAAATATTACTTAGCTGCATCAGCTGACGATGCGCTAAGTACATCTTCTGCTCGTGGTGGTTCAATTCGTGTAAACATAATACCCTAAATTATCAAAAATATAAGACCAACGTATTTTTTTTTCCTACAATACCAAGCATATAATTAAAGTCCAAATAATAGTTTCAATAGCCAACGAAGTTTTCTATCAGATGTATTCCATACAGAAATTTTCATGTTGTTATCTGAATCCTGAAAATTACTGTGTTTGATTTTCCAGAAACCTTTTCTCTCATAACGCATCTATGAAATTTCACTATGGAATAAACTTGATAGAGAACTTGATGAGCTATTGAAACTGCTATTTTAATTTGAATCTTGATATTGTAGATGAAAAAAATTTATACATACAGCTTCTATTTCTACTCGTTTAAGATCACGTATTTGATTTGATTTATATAGGCAAATACATTTGCCTTCAGCACCAGCTCGACCTGTACGACCTGATCGATGTATATATGATTCAACATCCTAAATAATAAATTCATTTCTTATTAAACATAACAAAATGTACTATATATAAATATATATTCATACTTTTGGTGGAGCTGTTACAATAACAAGATCAACTTCTGGAATGTCAAGACCTCGAGCAGCAACATCAGTTGTAATTAATAAACGATATTTTCCTTCACGAAATTTCTAATGGAAATCAAACATTTTTATATTTCAATAGAAAAGTTTTTGATAACAAACTTTAAGAACAAGTTCACGTTTATCTTGTGGTATATCACCATGAAGTACATGTGCTTCAGCTTTAATATCATGACTAACTGAAAGTTCATCAGCTTCTTTTTTTGTTTCACAAAAAACAATAGCACGTCCATCTAGACTATTACTAGAATAGATATGAACCAGTGAATTAATAACACCAGCTCGATCTTGATAAGTACATAATACAGCTAGATGCTAAACAAAATTAAAAACAAAACAATGTAAGTTAGACAAAAAAAAGAAAATATAAAATATTTTACTTCAACATTAGCAGCAGTTTTTTGTGTATTTCCTTTAACTAAATCAATTGTAATAAAATCTTTTGACATATATTTTTTAGTTGTTTTATGAACCCAATCAGGCATTGTTGCAGAAAAAACAATAAATTGTGATTTTATTTCTCGATCTAAATAAGTTTAAAAATAAATTAATATGTTAGTTTTTTTTTCATTTGTTTCAGTAATAATTACTTGGTATAAAAATATGACCAAGAATTTCTTCAACATCATCAATAAAACCCATATCAAGCATTCGATCAACTTCATCTAGGATAACATGTTTGACTTTAGTTAAATCAAGTTTGCCTTTATCAACAATATCTTTTAATCGGCCAGGTGTTGCAACAAGAATATCACATCCATTACGGATATTCTTTTCTTGATCTTCATATTTTTTTCCACCATAGATTGTTACAATTGATAAATCACTAGCAACCGATTGAAAATCATCCGATATTTGATTAGCTAGAAAATATAAAGAGAAATTTTATTTCTGAGATCGAAATTCCATACCTAGGAAAGAGTCGAAAATTCAGTAAAAATGGTCATCATTTTTTTAGGAAAGGTCGAAAACGCCTAAAAAACTTCGGGATTTATAAAGTAGATATTGGGCTACAATATGGCTAAATTGAAATTGAAAATATAGCTAAGCAAACAAATCAGACAGTGATTTTTCAAAAAAAATCCCTGAAACCTCTTAGAAAACTTTTCAAGTATTTTGATTCGCAGGTAGACTTGTACCATCACGCATGCTCTTTCTAACAGCAAAATCTCAGCTCGATGGCTATCAGTCTTGCCGAGTTAAATATTTTCACAAACTTTTTATTTCGTCGAAAAATTCACTTCTGATTTCCTTCAGGATTAGATCAAAAAATGAATTTCATGACTACTCTGCTTTCATTGGTTATTCATCTGCTATTTGGAGTTCTACTATTGTTTTATAACCTTAGAACTTAATTTCTATCGTTAAAATAACTTTTGGATAAAATTCATTTTTCACCCAGTTCTGGGAGGAGTAGGAGTGGATTTTTGAACAAAGAAAAGTCTGCGAAAACATTTGAAATATACGTAAGTCTATCCAGTTCAAGGCGCTGATTCAGAATATCATATTAGTTTTTATTAAAATCTTATTTTTCTCGTCAAAACCTACTAAATATCAGGCGAAAAAATGATGTTTCGAGAATGGTTTTCTTAGGATTTTCTTGTGTGGCCAGTGTTTTTCCTCTCGATGTTCTTATACTATTTTGAAGCTCTTAAAAATTACTGATTATCATCAACACCCCGATTCAATGCATATGTGACGGTTATTGACTATTTCAATCGATCTGTGCACAGTACAAATAAGTATTATATGACTAATTCTGCCAGGGCTCATTTTCAAGCACCTTGTGTGACAGTTTGAGAGAGAAGAAATCAAATTTCTCGAGAGGACTAATTTCAACAGTTATCGACCCTCCTCCTTTTGTGAAAATATTCAAAACTGTATATATACAAAGCTAAATAGCGATTTTGATGAAGTCTTTAGTTTACGTAGCTTGTGTATTGGAACATTTTTAAATTAATATTATTGTAGGGCATTGAATTTTATACAAAAAAAAATGAGATATTATAATTAGCAAAATTTTCAACTACCGCCAATATAGCTAGTTGTCTTTAAATCGCCAAAAACTAAGTGAATATTTTGTTCCAGGGCTTTCGCTCTATAGATTAGTTAAATTATAATCAAGACTCACTTAATTCTCGTGTTGGTGCTAAAACAAGAACTCGAGGTGCTCGTCCACGAATTAATTTAAATGATGCATCATTTTGAAGTAATTCAACAATTGGAATGGAAAAAGCTAATGTTTTTCCTGTGCCTGTATATGCTTGAACTAAACAATCTTTTTGGTCATAAATATATTTGTAACTTTTTGCTTGAACAGGAAAGAGAAGATCAACATTCCGATCTAGAAAATAAATTAGGAAAAAATTTTTTTCATTGAAAATTTTCATATAAAAGTTTTTTATTTACTTTGAAGTTTTTTAATTGTTTGTTTTGAAATATTAAAATTTTTAAAATGTCCTTTTTCTTTATCATCATCAGTTAAATGCATATTAGATTGAGCGCCATTTGTTGTCTCATCAATTCCATTTTCTTGTTCATTATTAACGGTCATTTTATCTTGTGTTTTTAATTTCATCTTTTTTTTATTCTTCTTGTCAAAAAAAAACAATGGAAAAGGATGAGATCTGAAAAAGAAAAATAAATATTCACCGTGTTTTTTCTATTTAACTTTAGAAAAAGCATTATAACAATAAAGATTTCACAAAAGAAAAAAAAAAAAACATTTTATTTAAATTTTTTTAATAAACACTTATTCGCAATAAATTATATCGGAAGACAAACATGTTGAGATATAAAAAAGACACACACAAAAAAAAACAGAAAATTCAATATCATAAATATTTTCGAATAAATTCAAACATACGTTCTTCCATATAGACACGTTCATCACATCTTCTTGGTGCATGTTGTTCATTTGGAAATATCACTAGTTCATATGGTTTATTAGCTCTAATAAGTGCATTTATAAGACGAGCTGAATGACGAAAATGAACATTTTCATCAATTAAACCATGAATTATCATTAAATGTCCTTTTAAATTATTTACATGATACATTATACTTGAGGTTTCATATCCATATGGATTCTCTTCTGGTGTACCCATATATCTTTCAGTATAATGAGTATCATATCTAAACAAAAAAATTAGTATTTTCTAATAGATATTAATTTTCGTGTTTCTCTTATTAGTGTACCCATCCCAATGCGTAACTGGTGCACCGGCAATACCTATTTTAAAAATATCACTTGCACGAACTAACGCCATAGCTGACATATATCCACCATAAGACCAACCAAATATACCAACACGTTTTTCATCAGTAATACCTTGTTTGATAAGATATTGTACACCATCAATTTGATCATCTAATTCTATATGTCCCATATTATGTCTAATAGAACTTTCAAATGCAACACCTCGATTTGAACTACCACGATTATCTAAACAAAGTACAACATAGCCAGCTTCAACTAAACGTTGGCAACGCATTTCCGATCGAAGTGACCAAGAATTTGCAACACTAGAAAATAAAAACAGAAAATCTAGGTTGATTGAGAACAAAAAAAAATCGGTTTGCGCAATCCTTGCAGGATTAAAATATGAATCTCGATGTAATCACAGAGAGATTATTTTATTCTACTGATTTTGTATTTAATTCAATTTTTTTTTCTTTTATAACAATTTATGACAACAAACTCAATAGTAAGTTTTATTTTAAGATAGCAATTTAAGTCTTTTTATTTAGATTTATCTAGGCGAATTAAAATGACAGATATTATTTTTACAAATAAAATTTTATCTTGTTTATTTAGATTAATTTGAAGGACAATTAAAAGGATAAATCTTCACTTGAGAAAATCAAATCAGTTTTCTTATTTAAATATGATCTCAATAATAAATTGAAAGTAAATATTGTTTGAAAAAAATTAATTCTATTTTTTTTTTATTTAAGCTAATCTTGAAAAGCAATCATAAGGGTATGTTTTATTTCAAAAGTCAATACTATAATTTTTCTATTTTAGTTTGAAAGTAATAATAACTGCAATAGTAAATGCTGTTTCAAAAAGCTTAAAGATATTTATTTTTAATTAGATCAATGTTTGAAATGGCTGCAACGGTACGTAGTATTATAAAAATCAAGCATGCATTTTTTTTCTTATTTAGATGAATAGTAAAAATAATCAGAACGATAACTACTTTAAAAATTTAATTGTATATTTTATATTTAGCCTAATCACAAAGACAACAGCAAAGGTAAGTATTGTTTAAAAAAAAGTTAAATCAAATTCGGTATGTACGATAGAGATAGTTGCCGCTCCCTGAATAATTCCTAGGAATTTCCCAAAAAACTCCCTGTTGTGAGTCTCCGGAGATTTTTCAGAGAACTTTCTGGGGATTCATCAAGGAACTTTTGACTAGGGAAGCGAATGTCATGGTCTCTGACTAGCGTCTGTCACGATCTGTGGGATCTAAATTTTTTTTCCCTCTATACTTCAATAATCTTTTAGCACGTGTTTCAGAAAAACATATCTGTCTTTCTCATACCGTTGAAGACGTGGTCCACCATAAACTGATACAAGTGTTGGATATGGTGTTTGATATCTATCCTGTTCATTATCTGGTGTATAAAGTGCACAATAAAGTGTATCATTATTTCTATTTAATATAGGAAATAATTTTGGTTTAACTAAATGAAATTGTTCAATTGTTCGTAATACACCTTGTTTTATATGATCAAAAGTTTTAATAATTTCTTTTTTTTTAACATCTAACATTCTTATTATTGGATATTGATCTATTGAACTCCATTGTGTTATACAATATTGATGTGTATGATTAAAACAATAAACAATATGAGTACCTGATTCTTGTGTTATACGATCTATTTTAGGTACATCATCATTATAATTAACACTATAAAGATGAGTTTCAAGTGGTGTTTCGCGATTGGCCAAAAAATAAATTATTGAATTATCTTCATCAATATCAGGAATACGTTGTACAACCCAATTACCATGTGTTAATATTTTTATTAATTTTCCACTATTATAATCATGTAATTCTAAATGCATATAACCAGTTCGTTCACTAGCCCATATAAATTGTGTTGGTGTTTTTTTTAATGTATAAAATAGATCATGTAAATTAATCCATAATTCACTTATTTCTTCAATTAATAATTTTAATGGTTTTTTATTTAAAAAATCATATTGATATAATTGTAATTTAGTTTGTTGACGATTTTCAATTTGTAATGCAAGACTATTATCAGGAAAGAAATCAACACGTGCTATATAATAATCTTTAAATTTACTTAAATCAACCCAATGTATAATCGGTTGTTTTTGATTATTTTCATTTCTAAGATCAATTATACCAACAGTTACATGAACATTAGCTTTACCAGCAAATGGATATCGATATTCATCAATCTAGAATATTGAAAATAAAATAAAATAATTTCTTTTCTTTTTTCTTACATGATCAGGATCCTCAGAACCTAAATGTGAAATACGAAGAACTGGTACATTTGACCCATCAACTTGAGTAAACGCAATAAAACATGAATCATCTGACCACCAAAAACCATCATGACGATCCATTTCTTCTTGAGCAATAAATTCTGCAAGACCATTTGTTTTACATGGACAATTACGAGCATCAAATGTTAATTGACGTGGTTCGGCTGAAGATATTGTTGATATACAATAAATTTCACAATTTTGAACATAAGCAACGAGTTTTCCATCAGGTGATAATTTACAATCCATAATAGATGTTTGATCAGATCGATCGACTAAAAGACGAATTTCTTTGTTATAATAAATATAAAGAGTATTATCCATGGTAATAAGTAACATTGATTGAGTTTGATTTTTTGCCCATTGATAACGAGTTACCGGAGTTGTTAATAGATGTTGACGCTAAAACGAAAGAAACAATTATTTATTTGATTTTTTTCTCAAATCTTATCATTAGTGTCTTCTATGTGAAAAAAAAACAATGATTTTTTTTCATAATGAATTTTCTAAATAGCATCATAGAATATTTATTTTTATAGAATCTATCCATTTCTTGTCCATTCATTATTAATCAAACGAACTCATCATTTCTTTCCTCATATATTTAGCCTTCCCTTTGATTTATTTTAAATGTAGATAAATAAATATAGTGATGAGAATAAGCTTAGAGTAGCTGAAAGAGTTATCTATTAAGATTGATGGATCTACAAAACTTCAATAAAACTGCTTGAATGAGGATGTTTGGAACACAATTGAGCGAGTCAAGTTATTTTTGTTATTTCTTCGATTGCTATTTATGTTTAAAGAACATGAACAAGAAGTTTTTTCATTACACAAGACTTAGTTCCTAGTTTTTATGCAATAAAAAATCGAAATAGGTTACATATAAAAATAAAATGGCATAACTACTCTCGGATTATCAATAAAATCAACTCATCTATTTTAATAGCGACACATTGTAACGAAAAAACTATGATGTTTTTATTCACAAAAACCTAACCTTAACTCCATTTTCAAGCAAAAATTATTTTAGAAGATCTCACACCGTGAAATCATTGAAACAATAGAAAAATCTTTCTTGAGCCTTTTGTAAATCGAATGTAGTTCGATGAATGAACATCATGAAGAGATTCCGAACATTTCATTTTGTTCTATCAACATAGAGAATCATTTTTGCTACTCAAATTTCTTTTTCAGGTTTTTCCTAACTATGATCATCGAGAAGAAAATTTAAAAATACAACTATTCTAAACTTTTGTCCGTCATTATAAATAACAGTATACGAATTATGAAGTTGATAATCAACTATTTTTCAATAGTGCTCGTCGTTCTTCAAAGAAAAATATCGAAAACGATCGAAATAACTGAGCTTTGTTATTTGAGAGAAAGAAAGAAAGAGTTTCCTGGAGTGAAAGAGAAGAGCTGTTTGTGCAATCTCTATACGATTAAAATACGAAACACAATGTAGCTACTCACTAGGATATTGCTTTATTCTATCTATTTTTTGACACATATCTTCATTAACTTTGTACTTAATCCTTCAAAAACCCAATGAAACATTATTGATATACAGTCTTTGATCGAATATCAACAGCATATTGTACGGCCTCGGAGTAGCATCTATCATTGTCTATTAATACTCCTTTCAGATCGTGTTTCACAAAAAGACTTTCAGTTTATAATATTCTTGATTTGTAATTCTACTCGAATTATTCGAAATGAAAAATTTCAAAACATAGAAAAAAAACCACACATACTCCACGTCGAGATTGTTCCTCTTTAGAGGGATTAGTTTCAATAACTTCATCAGCATTTTTTAAATCACTAAAAATAAATTCTTTATCTATTCGAAGATCATATGCATAAAGTTGTCGTGTTGATAAAAATTGATATGGTGCACGAATATAAGTTACTATATTATCATCCGGACTAAACTGTATAGATTCGGGTAGATTAAAACCAGGTGCTGGGATTTGTATGACATCTATGCTCGTTATTTGTCTATATAACATCTAAAATAGATAATCATTATTTCTCAGATACATGTATTATTGCACAGTGGTAAAACAATAATATATATATATGTGAATCAATCTTGATTAAGTATAAAGATAATGCTCGATTTTTTTTAATGATTAAAATTGGAAAAAAAGACAAAACAAAAAACATGAATGAAAGAAGCGTTCAAATATATTGAAAAACGAATATACATAAAAATTAGTTCACTTCTTTTATTTTTTTTAGTCACGTTTTTTCTGATTTAAATCTTGTTGAGATTGTTCATACGACGGTGGCATTTGTGAATACTATAATAAATTAATCAAATCAATAAGAAAATTTTCTAAGATAAAAATAAAAGTCATACCGGCTGTTGATTCATTTGTGGAACATACATTTGACCACCATAATTATTATTTTGATAAGCCGCTTGAGGTGGATATTGCATTGGTGCTTCATATCCATTCGGCATTTGAGGATACATATTTGAATTATTTACTTGCGCTGGAGGAGCCGATGGTATTTCAGGATATTGTGGAATAAATTCTGCTTGTGGCAGACCTGTTGGTTGTCTTTGATAGACTCCTTCATATGGTGCTTGGGCTGGTGATACATACATAGTTGTTTCTAAATGCAAACAAAAAATAACATGAATTTCATTAAGCCGACAGATTGTCTTCTCATGTTGACAAAAAATAACTCATTGTCAAAAGAGATACAATTTTGATATTGAGAATATTGATAAAGATAGCGAACAGAGATGTATCAGAGAGTTTTGTAATGATACTAGAGCCCATCGGATCCAAGAATTTTCGGATCCAATAGGCTCTAAATGATATACTTCAGTTACTAATTGATTATCCATATCTTGAAATGATTAATTAGTTAATCTCAAGCATTATTTAATAAAATACTCAACTACTTATTTATTCTAACTGATTTGTTTCGAGCACGGAGTACCAATATTAAAAATATTTCGATGAATGTCTATTTCACCTTTTGAGTACGAGCGATGTGAATTTGCGTTCCGATATTTTTGAATCTGAATAACTTTAAAAAACATGACCTGTTAATTATTTTTTAATGATATGAATTGCATGAAAATTTGTGCGATTAAGATTATATATATCTAGTGATGATTATTGGTTAACCCTTAACATTTCTGTCAATCAGTATATGACTTAATGAGTCAGAATGTGAACCAGTTTGATAACATATCTTGAGACAGAACCATTACTGTCAAAAGAATGTTTTGTATTATGAAAATTGTTCAAGAATGCCATCTATAGGAAAGATTCTGATCAGCTGATCGCATTTGCCAAATAATGTATAGTGCATTTTTTTTATATAAAAAAATCACGAAGGACAGAAATCGGCCACCTCTAACTCACTTATATATAGTCTTTTTCTTTATTTTTCTACGATCGTACAATGACATCATGACTTTTCTCTCTTCTGTTCTTTCAGGAGTCTTCGAGTAGATTCTTATTCCCTCTGCGATTGATATACCTATATATACATATATCTATTTTGTTCTTATTGTTCAAACAGAAACATGATGTATTTCGACATATTCTATATTTTTTTTTTGACATCTATTATTCACGAAGTGAAGTTGTGTTCAGCCAGAAATCACTGAATATATATTAAATGTAATGTAGGATTGTTTTAAAGACTATCACACTCTAAAAACATTTTGAATTATGTATTTCGTGATATTTTTTGTACAATAAACGTTAATTTGAAATTATAAAAATTTTGACTATATATAGAAATAATTTCGTACTCAAAAGATCAACCTAAGACTTTAATAATATAAAATAAGAATATTAAAAGAACAGAAAAATAAATGTCGTACACAGCATGAAGAAATGCAAAAAAAAGCGAAAAATTGTTACAAAACAATTAGCCTACTTAAATTATTTAGTAACTGTATATTATTTCAAAAGTATCTCTTTTGAAAAATTACATTTTAATACATATACAACCTGCAACTATACCTCTGAGAGTTCATCTTTGAAAGCTTCTAATAACAGAATAAAACTGTTTGATTTTGAGAATTTTTCAACTTAGCATGTCTGAGATCTAGTCATACGATAATTTATGTATTAGAATTAAAACTAATGCTAACAGTTTGGCATTAATTAATTCTAACACAACACTACATCAATACAAATTTATTCAGAGAAATTTTAATATCTCAGTCAGTAAATATAGTATCCTTTATCTGAGACAACATTGTTTCACGACATAAAACTGTCCTATATCATCTATCATATATACATATTAATACAAACTTGAGTTAGTTTATTTTTTTATTGATAAAATGACAAAATATTCGAAATAAATTTTACCTGCGAAACGATTATTTGAAGCTTGTGCTGCTTGATATGATGGTGGTGGAGGTTCATATAAATTAGCTGCAGCCATACCATAAGATCTAGATAATAATTCAATCAAGATAATATTATTTTAAAAGATGAAAAATAAAATAATTTACGGTGGTGCTGCTTGATTTTGTCGATGAACTATAATTAAAACGTAAAGCATATCATTAACATAGAATAAAAAAGAAAAGAAGAATATGACTCACAAATCGAATTAACTTCACGTAATGCTTTACTAGCATCAATAGCACCACCCGATGAATACGTTAATTGAAACTTAACTTCGCCTTGAAATCCACCTAAAACATAAATGTCAATCATAACACATGTTCTTATCAATTGATTGATTGATTGAATGACATATATAAATGATAAAACAACAAGAAAAAAATAAAAGAATAGACAATTTAAACATGATCATCAAACAACGAATAGAATTTCTATTCTTATATATTATTGTTATTAATATTCAAACAATAAGTGAAACAAAATCCGAAACTGATTATTATCAATATTTACAACAATATGGTTATACACCAAAAGTTGAAGGTCGTCGACTTTTTTCTATAATTTCTCGATCGTCTTATACAGAAGCAATTCTTAAATTTCAACGTCTTTATAAATTACCGGTAAGTCTTTTTTCTTTTTTTCTATCAATTTGATTAACCATTAAAATTTATTCAATCATAGGAAACAGGTCAACTTGATGAAAGAACAAAAAATCTTATGCAAAAAGCTCGATGTGGAAATCCTGATCTTGGTACTTATGATTCTATTGGACATCCAGTTAATATTGATAAACATGAAACTTTATCTGTTAATGTTCAAGGACGATCAGGAAAACCTAAAATATCTGAAAATTCTACAAGAAAAACACGTATTTGGCCAAATAAACATTTAAAATGGTTTATTGACAAATATCCTGAACAACAAAAATATATAACAACAAAAGATCATATACAACGTATAATGAATCAATCATTTTATGATTGGCAAAAATATTCTGGATTAACATTTGAAATGGTTAAAACAAAACATACAGCTAATTTAAAAATAAAATTTGATTCAAAAGATCATAATGATGGATATCCATTTGATGGACGTGGTGCAACATTAGCACATGCTTTTTATCCAACAGATGGTGATATACATTTTGATGATGATGATTATTTTACAGATAATTATAAAGATAATGAAGATTTATATACATTAAGACTTGTCGCTGCACATGAAATAGGTCATGCACTTGGTTTAGATCATTCATTTGAAATTGGTTCACTTATGTATCCTATTTATCAACAATTTGATTCAAATTATGATTTATCAATTGATGATCAACAAGCTATACAAGCATTGTATGGTAAATCAAAAATAAAATCTACAACGGAACAATCTAAAATAATATTATCATCATCATCATCATCATCATCAACATCAACATATTCTTCAAATATATTATCACTTAATAATTGGTGTTCAGAAGAATTTCAAACTGGTTGTGAAGGTCCTGATGGTGAACTTTATTTATTTAAAAATAATCAAGTATGGAGATATCAAGCAAGAAAAAAACGTTCATGGGATTCTCAACCAACATTAATTAATGAACGTTTTCCATCATTAAAAGATACAATAATAACAGCTTGTGTTAAATCATCTATTGGTTATACATATTTATTTAATGATTATCATATGTGGCAATTAAAAACACATTGGTCTATTGATGGACCACATATATTATATGGTAAAAATTATCCACAAAATCCACGTATTGCTTTATTACATCGAAATTCAATTTATTTAATACGTAATCGTTTAGCATTTCGTTTAAATGAATTTAATCATAATAATGAATTAGAAATTTTTAATATTGATGTTTTACTTAATCCATCACCAAATGAATATATACAATCTGGTTTTACATATGCTAAACGTCATTATATATTTACAAAAGATTTTGTTTATGTTTATGATTCAACACATGGAAGTTTATTACCTGGTTATCCAAAATCAAAAGTAAATGGTTGGTTTGCATGTGAATCAACATTACAAATACCAACATCAAGAAAAAAAACAACATCAACAATACGAACATCATTAACAGAATCATATCGAAAACATGAACATTATGAAGATGATCATGATGATGATCATGATCATCATCATGATCATGATTTTCATCATCATCACCATCATCATCATCGACCGAGACGACCTTTTCATCATCATTATTCTCCTCATCCATATCGTCGTCGTTGGGAATATTAAAATAAATACAGTTTTTTTTGTTTTCTTGTAAAAACTGTCTTAGAAATTGAATACTTTTTTTAAAATTCAAAATAAATATAAGTAATATTTCTAATTATTGAGAAAGAATAGCAACGTATTCATTTCTTGAGAATTAGCATTACGCTCAAGTCTTTCCTCCCACAATACCATATTTACAATAATTCTATTCTATTCTACACGTTTCAAGCAACTCATTTGTCGATGATTTATGTATTCTTCTTGTACACCATAGTGGATCGTCGCTCATGATTTATGTTAGTTTACTACTTGTTGTATATATTTTCGTTCTTCGTAAATTACTTGTAATCAATTCTATGTGCGGTTAGGTGCTATCATGAGTAGAGGGTTAAATAAACCGCATATAAACAGTATTTCTAATTATTGAGAATTAACACTTTAGTTACAGGATCTGTTTAAATACGAGCTGAACTTCTAGTATCAAAGCGTCATTACATGATATTACTGTATATGTAACTATATCAAGTAAAAAAAGAGTGAATTGTAGGTGAGATTCAAAAATTCTTGGACCCGATGGATTTTACTCCTCAAGTTCTAGGCTTAAAGAAGATCAATAGATCTATGTTATAATATAGAATTAAGGATCATTCATGAAGCTATTCAAACAATTTTGCAAGTTTTCGGATGGTTCTACTCGACTCTGCAGGTACTGAACTTTATGGTGTTGATTGAAGTCTTACGCAATTTGCTATGTTCCTTTGACGTATATACGTGTTTTCAGATTTCTATGAGTAAATCAATATTTTCTGTCATCTTTGAAAAAAACCCCGTAACCAAAGAGTTAAACAAAGTTATAAGTTGTTTAATGTTAAACAAGTGAGTGAGAGACATGGAATGTTAACTAAAATGTTATTGTCAAGATACAGCTTTGAATGATAATGACAGAGAGAATTACGATAAAAAGAAACTTGAATTAGAACAAAATATCTATAAATTCATCAGCGAAACTTTCCTCTCTTTAAGTCGCTATTAAATCTAGTAGATTCTGTAGTATTCGTCACCTACGAATGTATTAAACGCAGCAAAAAACAATCATATGGTATATTTGCTATTCAATTACACTATTTTATAAACATTTCCATACTTCTAATGAATGAAATTTATTACTATGTTTTTCTATTATCAAAATTCTCATATAACCAAATAATTAATATATTAAAAAACAACTAACCGTTTGGATGTGCAGCAGCAATACCAGATATATAATTAGCACCAAATATTGGTTGTTCAACATGTAAATTTCTCATATACATAAAAGCCACAGCAAATGAAAGTAAATTATCTCGTTGATCATCACTAAGAAAGATCATTCGATGAGTTGTTACAAATACTTTTCCTTTATGTTTTCCACGAAATACTTCACCACATTGACGACTTGCATCATCAAATGTTAATGTTACATTTTTAGAATGATTAACAATTCTATGTATTTATTAAATAAAATATATATGAAATTATTTTATAGAAAATTTGTTTTTGCTTACTGTTCACCTTGATAAAGTAAAAGACCACCTTGATAATGTGCTTGATTAATTGACATTACGTTACTTATATATCAATATAAATATAAATAATTGTTGAATATCTATTGATAAAATATTAAATAAAAATAAAATTGATATCTTGCGAAAGAAAAGATATACTAACGCAAATGATTTTTGTAATGAGTCAATAATCTAGACTGTTCTTCTTCTGAAAGGAACCAATAATTTGAATATTTTTTATTTATTTATCTTTTAATTATAATAAATTAAATTTCTTTTCATATTTATTTATATTTAAATCAATATGAAAAATATATTATATTTAAAAACAATCAACAATTTAAATATTTGATTATTGTCAACAAGCGTCATCTATCGACGACACACGTGCAAGGCAGATACATCAATGTTTTGGTTTTCCATAGAATTTTAATAGTTATATCCGATTGATTATGATAAAAGATGGGGTTGTGTAAGATCACAAGTCTGTTCATTCTTAACCTTTTTAAATTCATGTATCATTCGATGCAGAATGTATTTCAAATATTTTCAGAAACGTTTTTTTTGTCAACACATGTTTCTCTGGGTTGACTCAATTAGAACTTGTTTTTGATTGTTGAAATGACTTTTTCATAAAATTCATTCGTTGAATCAATCCTGAGGGAGATCAGGGATAAATTTTTTGATGAAAAAAAAAGTTCATGAAAAGTTTTGCAATACAAATAGTTCGACTCAGTTTTCAATGCTAATCCCGAATATCATATTAGATTTGACACAATTCGTAATTCTTTTAATCGAAATCTGTTAAATGCCAACTAATAAGGCACAAAAGTATGTCTTAAGAGTAGTCTACATGGAATTTCTTAAGTGTATAGGACTTTTTTGAGTTTGACAAATATACGATTTTGTGGCTTTTGAAAAGCACTACCAATTGATATATAAATATTTACTGTAATTGATCTCCATAGATGTCTATCAGGGGACAAGTCTATGAGCGTAATCGAATTTTTTAGCTAACATATCATGGTCACCAATGAAATGACAAATAAAAGATACCAATAATTTTTTGTAAAATACGATCTAAAAGGTGTTGAACTATATAGGGTAGAAATTAGGGCACACGCCTCTGCGTCTCCCACAGACCGTGACAGACATGTCATTAGCAAGAATTCATTGTTTAAATCATTAATTAACGTCCAATTAATAACTCATTACTATTTCATTAGTCACTCATTTATATTCAATTAGTAACTCATTAATGACCCATTAAGAAGTAACTAATGAAAGTAGTGATGAAGTTGAGAAAAGTGAACCTCCTTCCTTCCTATAGTGTCACAAAGATTGACAGGTATTTCGATAATTCAGTCTTTCTAATCATCAAGAATAATACGACCAACATGTCTGAGATGGTCCTTAACAAATGGAACAGATCAATCATGTTTCACATTTTAATTTCTCAGATATTATGCTGAAAGGTTTTTTGTCAATAGACTTGGTCCTACAGATGTCAATACAGAATTGAATACTCTATTGAATAAAACCAATCTGAAATAAAAGTGTCATCGCCATGGAAAGTAATCAGAAACATATTTAACGATTTCAACAGCCATGTCGACAATGAGGAATTAAGGGTAATGTTTTGAATCCTGATTACTTGAAACATCATCGAATCAATTTGAAATTATTAGCAAATGACTCAGCATTAAATTTTACATGAATTTAAAAAGTTTAAGAATAGACAGATTTGTAGTGTTATATGGCTTTATTCTTTGTTCAAATAATCTTCTCAACAAATGAACATCATTTATATTTCATGATAGGAAAAAAAAGAACTGTACGACGTACAATTTCAAAGACTAAGCAATATAATTCGATAAAAAAATTGCGTTTACAACAAAAAAAAGTAAAATAGATTTGAAAACCGAGAATCCATTATACTTATTCCAACCGAATATTGAAATATACATAGAAAAGTACAAAAAAAAAAAATGGAGATAGTCGGTTATTTAGATAGAAAAATAATCTTGCACTATAAAACATAAAAGTTGAAGAAAATATATTTTCTGTTTAAGGGTTGATACCACAGCAAGCAGATTTTTTCGATGTTTTATCTAAATCAATTCCTGCTGTACGAAAACGTTCTAAATCTTCATTACATTGCATATCTCTATAATTAAATAATAAAAAAAACAACACGATTATTAATAAATATCAAACAAAACTGCCTTTCGAATATAGTAATAAACTTATATACATACCGAGCTAATTCAACAAGTGCTTCATATGAATTTGTACCATCTTTTGCACTTGTTTCAATAAATAATGCTTTATATTCCTAGAATAAAAATATGAAATAGATTATATATATATATATATTCATTCTTTTTCTTTAAAAACAAACCTTAGCTAATTTTAAACCTTCAACTCTTTCAATAACACGTTTTCCTTCTGCTCGCATTTGATCTCTTAAATCAATTTTATTTGCAACAATCATAACAGATACTTTTTTTGGTGTTGCATCTGTTATTGTATTAATCCATTCTCGAACATTTAAAAATGATCGTTCATATGTTGAATCATAAACAAGAATAACACCATCACATCGACGAAAATATGATCTTGCAATGCTACGAAATCTTAAAAAAAAAAAAGAAAAATTTATTTAATAAAAGAAAAATTTTCATTTTAAAACCTTTCTTGTCCAGCTGTATCCCATAATTGTATAGCAATACGTTTATCATCGACTTCAATTTGTTTATTATGATAATCAACACCCAATGTTGAATTAATATTTGATATAAATGTTCCTTTACATAAACGCACGATTAATGTAGTTTTACCAACGGCTGCATCACCACAAAAGACAACTTTGAACATACGACTGGAAAGAAAAATAAATAAAGAAAAAAAAACCAATCAAACTTATCATTTACTCGAATGGAAGGTCTTCCTTTGCATTGTACTTATCACTACGTTTTGTTGAAGGCGATTGAATGATTGTTTGTGATTGATTAGTTGTATGTTTTGATGATGAATGTG